AGCAAGTATAATAGCAGGGCTGTAACATGGGTAAATGCTGAGGTGGAGGAGAGAGAAGATGAGAGAGAGCAGAAACGGGTTGTAATCTTACAACCGACTTAGACACAAGAACTAAAAAAGTTTGTGAGAGAGATAATTGGATCATGTATTAATAGTGATGAGCTAACCATTATATGAGTGGGCTGAGAGATGGCTGCAAAGAGAGAAGGTTGTAAAGAAATTTTACACCCAACAGCCATTTGTATTATTAGTCTTGCTCTGATAGCATGCTTTTCTTCTCTCTCTCTCTCTCTCTTCTCCGCCTCAGCATTCAGCCGACTTCTAACCTGCTATTATACTTGCTCTTATTACACCATGTTTTCGCCGTTTCATGTCCGCGGACAAAAATGAGAATCGAGCCTAAACGTTTCACTATTGACGGTGCCAAACGCACCCTAAATTATTTCCTATAATAACATGTATTAGGATATTACTTTACATTATCCTTTATAATAAAAAAGATAGATAATTTATAAAATTATTAAAGGCTATTTTAAATTACCTTTCATAGTGATATACGTGGATTAAGATATAAAGTTAAAGAGTTATTTTAAATTATCTTTTATAACGATAAATATGAGCAATCTAGGTACGGTAATTTAGATGTAAAATTAGGGGTTATTTTATGTATATATTTACATTATCTTTTATAATAACAAAGATAGATAATTTATAAAATTATTAAAGGCTATTTTAAATTACCTTTCACACTGATATACATGGATTAAGATATAAAGTTAAAGAGTTATTTTAAATTACCTTTTATAACGATAAATATGAGCAATCTAGGTACAGTAATTTAGATGTAAAATTATGAGTTACTTTATGTATATATTTTTATAACGTTAGAGGTGGATATTTTTGTAATAAATTACAACAGATCCAGGTCTCGAGCCCTGGATTGATTGACATGATCCGAAGCAGCAGATGGCCGGGCTGCTGTTTCTGTCACTGCCTGCAATGATCTACAGGTCCCGATCTTATTGTCTTGCAAAGGTTTGAATCTTGCAAGGAAGCCATTTAGGTCCCGTTCGGGCTTATCTCATATCTGACTTGTTCGGTTTCGCCTAGTCGAAATAGAGTTTTTCTCTCATAATATTTCAGTCAGAACAGTATTTTTCAGCTAAGTTTCAGCAAGCCAAACAGGGACTCTGCTATTTACTGCCTCGCGGCATGATGCTCGATGCAAGCTGCTGCGCTTGCGCCATGGGCCACGGTAAATTCATACGACTACTAGTGTAGCGTCTTACTGCAAGTCGAATCAGAGAAAATGGAATACCTGACCCCTGTTCTCGAAACAGAGCAGCAAAGCACGTGACTGAGAAGCCATACGCGGTACGCCCATGCCAGTGGCTCGACCAGTATGGTGTACCGACGTACCGTAAAAGAACCATTTCGTTTTCGGAAGAAAAGCTATTTCGGTGCTTCAATTATTGCTCGAGGCTTAGTTTTGTTTTTAAATTTTTAAAACGGTCGTTTTAGTCTTTAAACTCTACTTTTAGGTTCAATTTCATTCTAGAATTACAAAGATGATGTTTTAGTGCTCAAATTTTACATTTTGGGATCAATTTCATTTATAAACTATCAAAGTGTATTTTGTTCTTGAAACTTTTATTTTCAACTCAACTTTGTCTACGTTCTACGTGGAACGCTGCACTGTTGCACTTGGTTAGCTCCAAAACCACCAGCGGTTGGAGATAGAAAAATAATATTCATCTAAAAACTCTTTCGTGGCTATTAATAATTCCAAGCTGTTATTTTTAACGTTACCTTATAATGGTACCATTTATATATATCCGCCTAAATGATATTTGTGGGAGCAATTACAGTTACATCGAACACTACTTATTCTCTAAGATTACATGGATATATTGAAAACAATAGAAGATCTATAATTTTGATAGTTTATGGATGAAATTGTGTCTAAAATATAAAGTTTTTTTTAATAGACAAAATTGAGTTGAAAATAAAAGTTAAATGCACTTTGATAGTTTATGGATAAAATTGAGCCCAAAATGCAAAATTTGAGGATTAAAACGAACATCTTCATAGTTGTAGGATGAAATTGAGCATAAAACTAAAGTTTGAGGACCTATATGACCGTTTTAAAAGTTTAGGGATAAAATTGAGCCTCGAGTAATAATTGAGGGATCAAGATACCTATTGTGCCCCCGTTTCCCTAAGAAAAGGGTTTAGAAATTGACGCACGTTGAGAGAAGAAACAAAGCAACGACCGTTAGTCAAAGCTGCCTCGCAGGTGGGCTGCCTTGCTTTGTTGCAGCCTCGCAGGTGATTTGACTTTCGAGGCAGTGGCATCTTCCGTCCGGAATTTCGTACTTCACTACACTCCCTCCATTTAAAAAAATATAATTATATCATTGTGCCAAAAATATTAATATTTATGATATCAAATAAATGCGATTAGATTTGTCATGAAATATATTTTAGAGTTTTGTAGTATAACTATTCCGAATTACTTATAAATATTGAGACTCTTCTATAAACTTTGTCAGACCTTAGCCTGTTTGATTAAAATTATGTTTTTTTTTCAGAACGGAGCTTGATTAAAATCTGTTTGTTTCCATCTCCCAAATGAAACGTAAGCAAGTTGCACGCCAAGCAGTACTACTAAAATTGCCATTCATCCCATCGGCATTTACAAACTTGTAGTACGACTTCACTACTTCAGTACTGTGCATTAAGATGTACAGTGCAGGCGCGAAGGATCTTTTCCAAGGAGAAAACTTTCTTTCGTCAAACCGCCGATAGGGAAAATCGCTATCCAGTATCCACTAACAAGATTCGGTGTTTTAGGAACGTTACTAGCAGTACCAACAGGTTAAAAAAAAAGCAACAGGTTTTGAGCACCATCCCAGGCACAGCTGCACAGCATGTCCGGTTCCAGGATCCATGCCTGCATGTGCACGAAACGCATGGTGTTGGACTGTTGGCGATATGCTGCAGTCTGAATGGCGAGGACGACTACCGTCTTCGCCACTGCTGAAGACAGGTCACAGGTGCATCGCCCTTGCGGCCTTGCCCATCACTTCTTCATCAGGGACGGATCGGCCTCGGCTGCTGGCAAAGCTGCAGCTGCTACGGGCCTGCTCGCACTGTTTGTAGCACTGCCGCTCTAAAATTTTAAGCCACTTTGACTTCTAGATTCATAGTGTTAGTGTGTCGTTACTAAAATACTCTAAACTATATTACCTCTGTCTCGAAAAGAATGTAAATAGGTTGCGTGTCACAAAAAGTGATTCACGTTTGACCAAATTTACCGTAAATAATATTTATATTTATGACTTTAAATTAATCTATTATGAAAATATATTTCGTAAATAATCTAATAATGCAATGATATTTATTTGGTATCATAAACATAGATAATTTTTTATTTATAATTGGTTAAACTTGGTTTAAACTTACTTCACTAAAAAGCCCATTTTTAACCAATTCAATTTGAATTGCATTTTTGAGCTTCTCTTGTGAGAGCATGTTTTAGGGGCGGAGGAGGTATATATCCTTCCCACCCCAAAAATGACCGTTTTGATAAGGGCATTTTATTTTACCCGATGTAAAACGGCTCTGTTTGTTACACAGGACCTTAATGTGTCATTTTGAATTTCATTTTTTGTGAGAGGTAGTATATATGAAAAATGACAGTGATAAGGGCATTTCAATGATGTACTCCGTTTGTTACAAATTGTGTCATTTTGACTTTTCTATATTTATAGTTTTTAGTTTTATGCATTTAGATATAGTGTATATCTACGTGCATAGAGGAATCTATATTTGTAAAAAAGACAAAATGACTTAAAACTTTAATCCACTCATTCAGTACTCTCTTGTCTAGTTCAAATGGGATGATGGGCATGGCCTGACTGGCCTTGAACCATGCTTTAGTGCTAGTCGATTTGTATGGAAATAATTCAAATTAGGATTTCTTCTCTATCATTTGAAAAAAAACACTGAACACAAGATGGAGAGCATCAATTTTTTTTAAAGTGTTTTTTTTTCTCTTGGTTCATAATCATAACTCCAGGGCTCCAGGCGCCCGGGGAAAAAAGTTGCGGTACACGACAGCCCAAATTAATCAGCCCATAGGCTTGTCCGCACTATCCAAACGAGGGCGGGTTGGAGGCTTCGAGCCCATGGGCCGGCACGACCGAGTAAGCACGCCGTGTAAAGATCAGTGATCACAGAGCCAGTTGGTGCATTAGATGGTTAACAACCGATCAAGACAACGGTGATGGTTTTGTGATTGTCCGGTGACACTCAGGGCTAATGTAGAAACTCAAATCCTCTTGGAATCCCTGACTTTTTTTTAGTGTGAGAAATCTATAGAGAAATAATTTGAATAATTATTTAGTTCTTCGTTGAGAGGCTTTCCATCCTGGTTGTGTCTCCCCTGCTTCCAAATTAGCCATCAGGGAATGATGTGATATTGTGATGCATGCATAATGCATTGCAAGCGGAAGGCAACAGCCCGGTCCGGGCGTCCAAGCGCGTGCCCATCGGAATCGGAACAGAATGAATATGAGTAGTCGATTAGTTGCGATAGGATTTCGACAGATTAACTGATGATGATCCTGTCCTTGAAAATTTGTGCATGTTATTGTTAATTGCTACAGTAATTGGAACTTGGAAGGTCCTTTCTGTTGTGGCGTCCAGCGCATAATCACATTTATTTGGCTGTACCATAAAATTTGCAACGGCCTTCTTCTCGCTTTGTAGTACATACATACAGCAAGTAAGCATGGACTCCATGTAGCTCATAACAGTTTCTTTATTTCGACAAAATACAATGAAAATAGTACAAGTACAAAGTAATAATCTTTCAGCTTGCTATACTGACGCAGTGTGTATATATACCGTATAAACCATCATACAACTATGACCGACTAGACGCATTGCAACATTCTTATTCTGTTTACTATGGTCGTTATGCAGAGAGTATATGATCAGGGTCGATCGGTATAGCACACACATGCTATAGCTTGATGACTCCACGCATGCCTGTCGAGGAGTGCGTCGAGCACTTGCATGCAGTCGAGCTGCGAGCACTTGCATGCACTCGCCGTGCATGCATGTAAGAGGCCGGGTGAATCAGACACCGCCGCCGATGCCACCTCCACCTCCGGCACCACCACCATAACCACCGCCGCCGCCAGAGCCAAGGCCACCCCCACCGCCAGCACCTCCACCGTAGCCACCACCGGCACCACCGCCAGCTCCTCGCCTCCGGAGCCACCTCCTGCGCCTGCACCTCCACCGTATCCACCGCCGGTGCCCCCACCAGCTCCTCCACCGTAACCGCCTCCTGCACCGGCACCTCCGCCATATCCGCCTCCCGCGCCACCTCCTGCACCAGCACCTCCGCCATACCCCCCGCCAGTGCCACCACCCGCACCTGCTCCTCCGCCGTAACCACCACCAGCCCCGGCTCCTCCTCCGCCACCAAGACCACCGCCTCCACCAGCACCGCCACCAAGCCCGCCTCCTCCGCCTTCACCACCGCCGAGACCTCCACCGGAACCACCCCCAAGGCCGCCGCCTCCACCAGCACCTCCGCCGGCACCACCACCATAACCACCTCCTTCACCGCTACCAAGCCCTCCTCCTCCGCCTAAGCCGCCTCCAGCTCCACCACCGAGGCCGCCTCCACCGCCTGCACCCCCACCGAAACCACCACCCTTCCCTCCTCCAAACCCAAGCCCTACACCGTGCCCAAGGCCGCCACCAAGCCCGCACCCACCGCACAGGTTCTGCTTCTCCAGGGACCGCGCCTCGGTGGCCACCGCAAGAACCACCGCGACGGCCAGTCCCAGAAGCGCCATGTTCCACACACCGCTCGGCGCCCTCCCCATGTCGGGCCAAGCAGGAGTTCACTAGGTAGAGCCAAGTAGTAGTGACGCTGCTGCTCTGGAGCGCTGGACGAAGAAGACCGAGCTCTATCGGTGCGCTTATATAGCGGGGCAGAGTGGCGTGTAGTCGCCTACCCAGTTAATGCGTAGGTGGTTGCGCCTTGCGCGCGCGCACGGCCTCGCGTCCCTGCTTTCAGGACAGCCAGGTGGTGAGCGGGCAGGCACTAGCTCAAGCTGTGCTGGGACCAAGAGAAGGGACCGATGAATAATATTTTCTCTCACATTAAAGAGCTTTAAGTCAAATAATAATGGAACGTAAATAATGGAACGTAAACAGCCTAAATGTTGAGGTGGGGAGGAGAAGTAAGGAAAGAGAGGAAAAACGGACCGTAAGATAATAAATGGGCTATATATTAATTATAAAAATGTAACTACTATATAAGTAGGCTTATATAAGTAGAGGTGAGAGAGAAGAGAAGAGAGAGAGAGATGAGACATTAGTCTGTTTAGTTTCTAAAATTTTACAAAATTTTTCAAGATTCTTCGTCACATCGAATCTTTGACGCATGCATGAAGCATTAAATATAAATAAAAAATAAAACTAATTATACAGTTTAGACGAAATTTACGAGACGAATCTTTTAAGCCTAATTAGACTATGATTTGATACTAATTACTAAATAACAACAAAAATACTACAGTACTATTTTTCAAAAAAAATCGTTAACTAAACGAGGCCTTATTAGTCTTGCTCTGACTGGGCTGGGAGAGTAAGGGGGACGGGCCCAGTTCACCGCGGGGCGCAGCGGGCGGCCGCTGAAGAAGTCTCGCCCCGCCCGCCGCATTGACCGTGATGGGTGGTGTGGTGAGCCGCGAGCGCCGCGCGGTGTGGCACTGGCGCTGGTCGATGCCGTGACGTGCGTGTCCGGTGTCCCTCGCCCTCCCTGCGCGTCGACGGGGAGACGATGATGAGAATAGCAGATTGAGCTGCATTTATGTCGGCGCGCTGTGAGGGACGGCGGCGCAACTACCCGCGCACATGCCAGAGCGACTTCGGCTGCCGGAGGGGATCGGGGGGCACCATGCATGATATTGACATGAACATGATCGGTGTAGAGCGATCGAACTGGCGAGTGATGTGGCGAATGGCGAATAATATCGCTTGTCCGATCGACATCCAAATCAAAGTGATCGGATCGGAGCTGAGCTGAGGGAAAAGTTGGCCACGTACGTGAGGAGATGGTCGAGCCTGTCGTTTACCATTAGAATGTCAGCATGGAAATGGAGGCTGATTTTCTCGGCAACGGCTTAGTGCTGAATTCGTGTCCGTGGTTTGCTTTGCTAATAATTGTTGTGGTGGTCAACAATGAGAGAAATGGAGATGATTAACATTTTGCATGCTTTTCCATGATATTCATTCAATATACTCATACCTCAGTCGACGCTACTATCAGTAATCACTCTATAAACTTATCTGGAAACTGAAGATACAAGTCTATGTCTGTCTGTAAACTAAGTTAAACTTCCTAAAATCCTTGGCAAGAGCGACGACAGTCTTCTTTATTGACAGCAGAACAGTTATCATGGTAGTTTTTTTTTACCATGTTCATTCTTGCTTAGAAGTTTGCTAACTGATGTTTAAAACTTTCCACCACGTGGTCTAAAAAAATCACCATTTAATCAATAATGTTACCATATTAATTATTATTATACCTTTTCTAATGTTTGGTATCATATACTGTAATTAGGGGAAAAGTAGTGTTCAAATGATTGCTATGTTTTTTTTTATATAAATAGCAAAGCTTTATTCAAACACAATTATTGATCTTACATGGGAAGAAATCACCCCAAGAGAGAAGTTTTGCAATGCCACAAGTACCGAGGATTGTACATCATGGAGCATGTGTGTACAAGTTTAAACTGGAGCGACTCTATCAGCATGCTTCCAAGCATTCCTAGCAAGAGAATGAGCGATTTTGTTTCTCTTTTTTGATTTTTCACACCTCAAGTTGGGTTCTGCCGCCACTGCTCTTGGAGAAGTCTTCTAGAATGGGCCGAAGATTCCATTGGCCTGGAGTGGCGATAATATAATCTCGATCTCTTTTATGAAATGTTGACACAAACGCCTGTCATCATGGAAGCTAATTGGAAGGCCTTCGCTTCAACCATCAGAGGGTTCTATGGTCTGTGCACCAAACTAATGTTAAAAGGTGCAAGCATGTAAAAGATACCAGTAGTAGCTTTACATTTTTTAAACTTGTGCATGACCAAATAAAACTGACTACACTTTGTACCACAATCTTCTAGCACCTTGAGCAAGCGGCCCTTCCTGTTCAAATCTAGGCCAGCTAACTTGTGGCAAAATATTTGCTCATGCACTTGGACAAAAATATATATGGCAAAGCGTAGCAGCCATCCACGCACGTACGCTTGTTTATCTACGGCTCTACGCAACCGGCGCTTTATACCAGCAATTTAAATTACAGTATGGAGTTGTAACTGAAATTGACCTGCAACTCCACAAGTAAGAACTGAACTGTGGCAAAAAAAAACTTCAGTCCCATTTCCTTGCTTCTCTCATTTTTTCCACACACAGCCACAGGCTCACAGCAGCAGGCCAGCAGCGCAGTTAAAATTCCATGGATATTTTGGCGACGTCGACATGACTCCAGTGCTCTAGCAACACTGCAACAGGTAGCAGTAACCAGACTTGCCCATCGCCACGCCTAGCAAGCGACAACCGATCGGGACTGATGCATGTGCAGTGCAGAGGAGGGGCACCGAGCACCTGCTCTCAATTCATCGGTAAGCCGTTGCGTCAAGAACGGCGGCCGGCCTGATTTTTTTTGTGTCACCACGTGATATGTTCTGCAGTACAGTACGTCGTAGATATCACTCGCCGCTCGCTCCTGTCGATCTGCTGCTCGATCGTCTCGGTCGTACAAGGAAACTTGACATCGGCCCATCACTGGTCGGACGAGCGGCAAGCACCGACGTTCGCCGGACGGTTTGAATTCTGCACGGATTTGATGGACAAAGGCGGGGTTCAGTTACTGTATCTTCTTGTTCGCGTGTCTGCTTGTAAAGCAACGACAAAATTGAGCTCAAATCGATCAGTATCAGATCAGATGTAAAGCAACGACGTTCGTTCAGCGTAACAACCGATCTTCTGCTCATATGAACTGTAGGTACGTTGAAGGACTGCATGCTGACAAGTAGCTTTCAGCTGCTCGCACTGACGGACAGTTGGTGGTGGTCGTCTAGAGATCACCGTAGAGTATTCCATAGAACAGGCCATACGTGCTACACTGTATATAACATGCATGTAAGCATCTAGACCCTCAAGGTACTAATAACAACCGTGTTATCGTGACTAACATTTATTTTGAGCGAGAACAATTTAGAGTTTAGGTCACGACGATACATAAGTAATATGATGACGCCCAATTTCAGTTTCTATGCGACCAAGGACTCAATGTGAAGGTTACGGACCTTTCTGGAGCGGTTTACTTGCAAATCCAAGAACCATATATGTTTCTATCGTGGATCTCGCTAAGGACATGTCTTAGTTTGTTGGCACTAGGCACTAAGGACGCATCTTAGTTTGCTTTATTAGTAGAGGTTAAGATTTGTCGCTTTAACTTTTTAGGACCAATTCACCTCCTCTCTTGGTGTATCTGGTCACCTTTCAAAACTTTTGGACAAGTTCATGTCTAATGTAAACCTCACTAGTCCCAAGAAATTTCACTTTTAAACATTCGAGAATCTTGCCTCCATGTTAATCTTTACCAATAAAGCTAGGAAAGAAATGATAAATTCTAATCATTCTGACATTAAGAAAAAAAAAAACTAGCCATCGATCCGACATGTCTAATCATTAACAAAAGCCCTTACATATATTATTCTTCTAAATTATCCAACTAATCCCAAAAACTAAATTACCCACAAATGAAAAATTAAAAAAATATAATATTAAGTGCATCTAAGTTACTGAAATTTCTCACTATAAAAGATAATTTGAAGTAAAATCCTTCTAATCTACATCAAAATTATCCACATTTGTCATTATTAAAATAAACTAAAATATCCATCTAAATTTACATCTAAACTACTCACATTTTCCATTATGAAAGATAATCTAAGGTAAACTTTTAATTTGTATCTAGTTTATTCACCTCTATCATTATTAAAAATAAACTAAACAGCCCCTTAAACATGCTCTAGATTAGGCACTAGTCCATCAACCTTTGATGTTAAGGTAAACTCAAGTCTACTATTATGAGTAATCAGTGACCAAAATTTATCATTGTGAAGCACTAGTCCATCAACCTTCGATGTTACATGGCCTAGTAATTGCAAAGACGCAAGCGTTATAAATTCATGGGTAGATTAGGCACCACAATTAACCAGAATTGCTTATCTTCTCTTTTACCAAGCTCATTTGTTCATATTTAACACAATACTTATGTGGATACTTTCTTATTTTTATCCAGGTGTTACTTATTTTTATGTGGATACTTAATTGGTAAGTAAAATTTTATCACGCAAATATAAGGTGTTACTTTGGGCTATTTTCATAACGAAAGAGGTTGATAAAGTTTGAAAAATAGAAAAGACCTAATGTCTATTATTGTCTCTAAAAATTCGAGTCTATTGATTTAATGGACGTATATCTGATTCTTGCGACATTTTCTAAGATTTATTTTTATAATATCACGTGAGGATTGACTTGTGGAGGATTCAAAAGGAGTTTCAAATTAGTAATACTAAAGTATATATGGATATTGTGTTATAAAATAAAGAGAACAATTAAGGATAGACAATCTAATTTAGAGGGTGTCTCCTAAAATTCTAACAAGTTCTCAAGGCTGATCTACTAGTTAAGCTCAAACCAATGTCATTCCTCACAATTTTTCGAGCAATCGCAATATGAAGCAAAGGGAAAGTAACTCATGTCGACATGTTTACATTACTAGATGCTTGTTACCAAAGCATGGTGGAGCATGGTGGAATATGTTAACAAGCTGGATATAGATAGTACTATCTGGTTTGTGCTTTCAAAGCATTGGCACGTCGCTCCATAATATCACCTCGGACTAACGAAAATATATAGTTTGTACGAAAGCACTTGTCAGCTCCAAAATGGCAGTAGTCACAAACAAAAGAACTTATCATTGCAAACATAACATTTCAATATCTTTATTCCTTTACGAAGATGATGAATAAGTAATTGTAAGCACACAACAACGAAGACGGTGAAGTTCAATTAAAATTACAGATATAAGGTCCGGCTCGTCATATGTACTAGTATTCATCTGCATCGAAAAATGGACCCATGCTTCAATGCATATACAATATACTTCACCAATGGCCACCGCCAATGCCACCACCACCGCCGAAACCGCCGCCGCCTCCACCGCCCAAGCCAGCGCCACCTCCGGCACCACCGCCAAACCCTCCTCCAGCACCACCTCCGCCGCCCAAGCCAGCACCACCACCGAACCCTCCTCCAACACCACCTCCTGCTCCACCACCAGCGCCGAAACCGCCACCGCTACCTCCACCGAGACCTCCGCCGAAACCTTTGCCTCCCCCGAAGCCGCCACCTATTCCAGAACCGCTGCCACCTCCAAGGCCACCACCGGCACCGTCACCAAGGCCGCTGCCTCCGCCAAGACCACCTCCAGCTCCACTTCCCAATCCACCACCTGCACCGCCACCAAGGCCACCGCCTCCGCCAAGACCACCTCCAGCTCCACCACCTGCACCGCCACCAAGTCCGCCACCTCCACCAAGGCCACCTCCAGCACCACCACCTGCGCCAGCACCACCTCCGAACCCTCCTCCAGCGCCACCACCAAGGCCTCCACCAGCACCACCACCTAGGCCACCACCTGCGCCGGCGCCCCCGCCAAGTCCACCTCCTCCACCAAGACCACCTCCAGCACCACCGCCTAGTCCGCCACCCGCTCCACCGCCTAGGCCGCCTCCTCCACCAAGACCTCCTCCACCTCCAAGCCCACCACCATGCCCAAGCCCTCCACCGAGCCCACCGCCTGCTCCGCCACCACCGCCAAACCCACCACCTCCACCAAGACCACTTCCCACACCTAGGCCGCCACCTTTTCCACCTCCAAACCCGCCACCAAGTCCTCCACCATGCCCGAGCCCTCCACCCAATCCACCACCTGCGCCACCTCCTCCACCAAGCCCAGCACCACCACCGAAGCCAGCGCCTCCGCCGAAACCGCCTCCGCCGCCCAAGTTCTGCGTCTCAAGGAACCGCGCCTCAACGACCGCTCCGAGAGCCAGCACCACGGCCAATGTCGCGAGCTCCAAGGCCCGCACCCGCCTCGCCGCCGTCCCCATGACGATGAGATCGACAGTGGAGTAAATTGAGCTGTGTGTTGCTGCAGCTGTGATGCTTGCAGCGAAGGACGCGCTGCATGCTTATATAGCGGAGCCGATGGATCAAGTGGAGCGAGTGGGCAGTGTGGAAAGCTAGCAGACTGCATGTGTACGTGGAGTTAATGCAGGTAGTTGCAGACCACCAGGCTAGCTATCAAAAGTCACGTCTCAACTGTCACGGCCTCAGCCTCCAAAGGCAAGCCGCGCCAGCTACAGGCTACAGCTAGCGAGGAGACACGCTGAGCGGGATGGAAGAAACCTGCCGGTGCCGTCGTCGCGAGGCGAGGAAGAGAGAGAGCATAGAGAGAGAGAGAGAGAGCAGAGCACGACATGGGCGAGCAGAGACGGGTCCGGCCGTCTCGCGGCTATTTTTATTTACCACGGGATACTATCCCGGGACCCGGGGCCCCGGCACAGAGACTGTTTGCAATGTGAGGCTGCTCAATCGTAGCCGATGCCGGGAGCGGACCAACCATGGGCGTTGGCAGGGAGTGGATTCGGTTGGTGAGCTGTGACTCTCCGAGCAGACGGGGCGCGCGGAAGCCGAACAGCGAACAGGGGCGCGGGGACGCCGGTGCATTTATGTTCACGCGCTTGACCGGGTGGGGGCGCCGGCCGCTCAACCAACTGACGGGCCAGAGCGCGCGCCGGCGCAAAGACTCGGACGACGCATGTTACCTTGTTGGTCAAACGGACATGGATACGGATGCGCCCATGCCACTGTGACACTGTATGTCACGGTGCCGCACCGGTATTACACGTAGTCACGTACGTACGCGCGCGCGCGCGCAGTTCGTGGTCGTATTTCTTCTACCTGGCTGGCAGCTGTACGCACGCACGTGGGATATGCTTGTCAGTCTTTTCGGTTGGCTGGTTCGTTTATATAAGAGAGAAGTAGTACTGTTGGCCAGTTTATGTGAACAGTGTCCATGTGAGAGGGCTGGCCAACCCAGCCAGTCAGCCAGCCCCAGCCGAACGAGCTGGTGCTGAGCCGCCGATACGGTGTGAGACCTGCCGCTTTTGCATCACAGGTCTCAAGTTTCGTAGCGAGTCGCCGAGTCCCACTACTGTCCCAGTATCAGAACTGATACGTACAACGGTGATGTCAATCACGTACCTCTGGGGGCAAAATTTACTTTGTCATTATGTACTGCCGACAGTATAGATAGCCGGTGAGAGCAGTGTACTAGGTAGTAGCCACAAAAGATCTGTTATCTGTATATGCATGGCATGTGGTTTGTGGCACGGACTGGCTTTTAACTTTGGAGTCATGCATACTAAGTACGCCACAGTCACAACTCACAACTGTACGGTACATTACGAAACCCTGTTCACTCGCTTATAAGTTGTACTTTTTCAAGCTAGCGAACAGTATTTTTCTCTCATAATAAATCAGCTAACAGTATTTTCAGTCATGGCTTATCAGCCAAACAAACAGGACATATAAATGACTGACTACTAGGGGTGAGAAAATTCACTCCCCTAGCTAGAATAAGGGGCTGTTTGGTTCCTTTACCTCCTCCTAAAATTCCTATCACATCGAATATTTGGACACATGCATGGAGTATTAAATATAGACTAATTACGAAACTAATTGCACAACTTGCGACTAATTTACGAGACGAATCTTTTAAGCCTAATTAGTCTATGATTTGACAACGTGGTGCTACAGTAAACATATGCTAATGATAGATTAATTAGGCTTAAAAAATTCGTCTCGGAAATTAGCCTTCATCTATGTAATTAGTTTTGTAATTAATTTATATTTAATGCTTTTTATTAGCCTCTAAACATTTGATGTGACATAAATTTTAGGAGCGCATAAAGAACCAAACACCCTCTAAGACTATACGCTTACTTAAAAAAAGATTTACAGAGAATATACTCTTTATTGACAGAGGTGGGCCGGCTAGGCTACCGCTTTGCAAATTAAATCTCGTGTACATCCGCTTCCGCCACGCCGCATTAGCTGATCTTACATTAGCCAATTATTAGTCACTTAGATGTACTGGGAACGTGCCCTGGCCTGATCCAAACATGCATACCCACTTTGAGAATCCACAGCCATCAATAGACAATAGTGCTAAAACGAAGACCACGACCAGCGCCAAGTCGAAAGGCGCCCTGCATCATGCACCATTGCGCCAACTACCGGATGCATGGAAGCAGCGAGGCATGAGCTGCACACAGAGAAAAAAAGGTGCACCGTGTGCCCTATACACGCAGAAGCAGCATTTAATCTCACATGCAGCTGCTGCATAGCGCATACCCTTGCATAGTTGCATGATAGTAGGAGGGATACCGATAATATATGTGCCTGTTAGGAGAATGCCCATTACTCCATTCGGTCGATGTTTTGTTGTTAACGTTCAGCAAATATATAAAGTCCAACGTCACTAAATAGCAAATTTTGAACGTTCCACAACACATTGAACACCGATTTTCAAGCGAATGTTTTTCTTTCTTTTAAAGAAAAGAATGGCGAAATTCCAGAGGAACCGAATCTAGATTAGGGTGCAGTAGACCTGGAAAGGCCGGCAAAATAAAATACAACCGTGGGAGCTGAAACAACTCCTTATGCATAGTACAGAACAGATTATATACATATATAAGCTATATGTACTACGTGGAACTGGTCATGAACCTACGCTAAGAGACACATTTGCCGCGTGTGTACATAACTATCCGCCATGGACTCTGATCTTGAAACCACAGCATGGATACCCAAACTTACAGTGGTGCACCGAAAACAGCCTCCTCAACAACACTCAATCATTGAATTGCCATGGCAGCTTTGATTTGTTTCCAGGCTTCTTGTAAATTAGGCACCCTCTTACCAGGGGAGCTAAGTTACCTAATCGACCGAGAAGTTAGGTGGAGTCAGTGCAGATCTTAACATATCAGCTGATTTCTCTACCAGCTGATGGACGAGGCTGAGGCAGCTCGAGGACGATGAGGAAGAAACTCCGCTCTGACTCCCTGATGTATTGGACCTCGCCGCCCATCAATTTGAGGATCTTCCTGCATGTGCTTAGTCCTACGCCTTCTTGGGTTGACCATTGGGAATTGCTGAACATATCCTGGACAATGTCAGCGGGGAGGCCCTCACCAGGGCAGGCAAACCTACAGATAAGCAAAAATCAAAAGGAAATCACTTAGTTCCATTTATTGGTACTCTCAAGTCCCAATAGAGGCATTGAGTTTTCGGTTGTTGTTAACATTTGGAAGGTGATTCTCCAGAATCACCTAATGCACAATGCAACAAATGTAGGTTGTTGAAATAATATGAGTTGCAGAAAAGACAATCACTTTTGCTCAAGTTAGGCCAGGACACTAAAATAGTAAAATTCATCTAAAAGATCCAGATGATTACAGATTTACAGTCCATGGCACCATTATAGGACAGTTTTGAACTTCAATAGGTAAGGGGATCAATTCTCAGTTTCTCTCACCAATGTTCTATGGCAGGCAGCAGTTTTGGTATCTAATAGACATCCAAAAGTACTAATCAAATAGATCCAGATTTGTATTTTTCTATGTTAATCTAAATATTGTTCTGTAACAGAAAAAAGGTGATATCTTTTAGTTGGTACATCATATGAGAGCAATTAAAAATATATATTAGTGGTGTTGTGAAGTATTAGTGGATTGCCCACCTCTTCCCAAACGCTTAAGCTTTTGGGTTCACTTGGTTGGTGCATTAAACCTAACATGGTATCAAAGCCAGAGGTCTCAAGTTCGAGTCATGGTAGAGGCATCTTTTAAGTCCTCCGCTCCCTTCTTTATTTCCACGTTTGCGCCTTGTTCTGGCTGCACGTGAGTGGGAGTGTTGTGAAGTATTAGTGGATTGCCCACCTCTTCCCAAACGCTTAAGCTTTTGGGTTCACTTGGTTGGTGCATGAAACCTAACAAGTGGGACGGAGGTAGGTTACACGCTTGAACCCAGTTTGATCAGGAGCTGTAACAACTTTGTATAGGCTGCAGTATAAATCCAATGCGTGAGCTCAACCAAATAATGTCAGTATTCGTTTTCTCTATTTTCCATTACTGTTGCCTTCTGATACCGTTTATGTTACCATCAAATCCCACAACCAAACAGCACACTAAGTTAAAGAAATTGAGTCAACAGAAGAAAACGAAAAATACAGCATGATGCAAACAGGATAATTCTGTCAAAATTCTCACGGACCAATATTTGAAAGGTATCACACCACATATGCGGCCAACCAGCCAAAGGTTGAAGTAATTCATGTTACTTGTCTTCTACCAAAATTCATCAACACATATTCATTGAAGAAACAAAAAACATTTTGTGACGAATTATAATCAAAGAGCAAGCAGCTAACCTGAAGATGAAAAGCTCTGTATCTGTTCCGTCAGAATTCTGTTTTACATTTGGTCTGACTTGTATTTCTACCCAGCCATTCTCAGATGGAGCAGACCGCACCATGCTTAGCAAGAAGTCAGCCAAAACTTGTTGAATTCTAAATTGATCACCATATGCTGATGCATCCTTGATTTCATCAGGGATATCCCGAATAAGTTGTAAATCCCTCTCCCTCAACAATAACATTGCTTGGCTGACAACAGCATTCATAACGTCTCCAAGAGAAAAATCACTTTTCTCAAGTACCAAAGAGCTGTTACATAAAGAGAAACAAATCAACAAATTTTCAGTTAATCAATTGTGGAAATAACAGCAGCATTCAACTTATGTCTTAGGATACAAAGAAGTGAGAAAACGCTACTGTCTACAGTCTAAACACTGAACCAATGAACCTAAATGAAAATTAGGTCAAGCAAATAATTTTTTTACATAATGAGGTCAAGCAAATAATGTGACAGTAATAATATAAGATTGTGTAAGTAGCTATTCCAAGTGACATCTTGGTAAGTTTTTGTTTAGACTTTGCCAAATGAGAAGCAACTATTCTATTGAACATGCCTTAAGTTTCTGGGAATTCATTATCAATAGCAAGACAGATGGACCTGATCAAGTGTACAAAAATCAACCAGAAGGGATTTGAGTTTCCGTGCAAGCAAATGAAATGCAGCATCTCCAAATAATTTATGAAGCTCCTCAAACAAAACTACAGGCAGAGGCATGTTAGACAAAGCTGCTTGAACTTTGGTGACACCCCCCTAAAATGTGGTAAGGTTATCAGTTCACAAGGCTATTCCTTTAATTCTAACAAAAATCCATGATATAGCATTTGAAGCACAAAGTTTCACAATCCTGGTAGTAGTAAGTATGCTAACATTGGTAAGCAGAAAACCCCCACTATGCACTTTTTTTGTTTTTACAGAAGTTGGCTTTTCTAACATAATTTGACCTATTCAGTATATACAGCAGTTATTGTATGTACTTGTGTAATATTCACGCTATCCTTGAAAAAAAAACAGAGAAAAAGACACCAGATTCACCAAGTTCCACTGGAAACTGTGAAAACCAGGTCCTGGTTATCGTCAACCATTAGATAATTACAACCATAACAATGTACATAATCAGCCAGAAGCATGCCAGTCACTGTACAGTATGATGGTATGGTACTTTGTTTCAAATAAAAAGAGGTTTCCAAACCCATAGGAGTCTTTTAAGCACAGTACTACAGTAGGATATGCTGAAGCTTCTAAAACACCAATGCTTCTTTTGAAGTACAGCAATCTGGACTGCCTTCATATTTGCAATAATATATGTTGGCAAATGTTGCTGATCTTACACAGTTTCAGATATTGGCCGAGCAAGAGAAGCAGTCCACACAACTGCCATAAGGGATAATAACAAAGGTGTCTTAAAGGGCAGTGCAAAAAACAAGGATCCTCGTCTAATGTTGGCAATAACTTATGTGCAAGAGAAAATTTATTTAAAGAACTGCAAAGACAGTAGAACAAACTGCGATAGTCTAATGACTGATGAACTTCTCTAATTCCTACTCCGATTTTGTACCTCTAGCAGTCAAGATTAGCGCCAACTAAAATTTAGACTAAGGCTACTCCAGGCTCAAGTTAAACGAATATGAATGATCAAATGTAAATATTCAATGCAAATATTAGAGAATGGGTGAGCAGAAGGGGTAAGCTTAGAGTACTGACCCGTCCTCAATACTTTGGAGACTGGCGTCCTTAACAATCTTGGACATCTGTTTCTCACAAGCAGAGCAAGTTTCAAGGAACTGCCTCTGATCATCATTTAAATCAGTCATTTGCAACAGAGAGTTGGTAAATCGGATGCCACTAAGAGGATTCTTTATCTCCTGGCAAATATAGGCCAATTCTTTCATCCTTGCATAACACTTCTTTTCTTGTTGTCTCTGAATCTCAAAGGCTTGCTGTATTTCAGCGCTTGCAATCTGCAAGAAACAAAAGGCGCCAATGGATTTGCCATCCATTTTGCTCCTTGTGTTGGCGGTCAGTAAGGCCTGCACATACTTTCCATTCTTGTCAAAAAACGAAAAAGGGAGCTTCTCACAATCCTGCCCTCCTATAGCATTGTGAATGACAACCATGAACTTTGTCAATGCATCTGGGCCCTTGAGTCGACAAAAATTTCCAAACACCTCTCCAATAAGAAACTTACCAACAACTTCACCTCTCGGCCATCCTGTAAGTTTTTCCATGGCTGTGTTCCACTCTGAACAAGAAGTGTTCTCATCTGATGCAAAAATTGGCGGTATCAGAGGATTAGGATTGTGTACAATAGCTTTGTAGTCCCCTTGTATGTTGATAAATTTATCCATGACCACCTTTTGTCCTGTGACATCTTGTCCAACAAAACAGACACTAACAATATTTTGTGTGTAATCTCTACTGGAACAAGCATTGACAATAACAAATATTGCTCCCTTAGATTGCTCTGACCCAAATGTCTTCAGCTTTATCTCCACATTTTTGTCTTCCTCACCTGTATGGGAAGCAACTTCACAAATTAGCACTCTCCAATCGCACATCCATCAAAGCTAACATAGCTTAGCTACATGCATTGGGAAGTAGATTAAATTAGTTCAAACAGCCTGGACGAGAAACAATGTACTTCTGTGAGTAGCTAACACAACCTTTGGTATAAAGTTTCATATGCACACTTTTCACATATGAGCATTCCTATCTGCTAGTTATAAGCACCAGGTTCTTAAAATACTGTGGAAATGGTTGAGTAAATTTGATGGTAGTCTCTAGTTGGTCCCCATTTTCTATATACTTGTGCGCCCAAGAAACTGAGTATATTTATTAAAAAACCTTGACCAACATAGGAGAGCTTTTAAATTAAGAAGAAACATGCAAAAATTCGCCTCGACAAGGACTTGAACTTGGGGGTCTGGTCTAGGCATACATCCACACCGTCGACCAATTGAGCTAGGCTTAGCTCCTTCAAATATCCATTTTTCAGGAGTATATATACCACACATTTCAATATTTGGTCTAATAAACATGTATACATCCTGTCCATACACTTCTGTTATGTCATATACCTTTTTTTTATATACCTTTAAGAGATACAACCAAGAACGGATAATCTTTTCCTCAACAGCACTCCGCACTTCTCACAAAACATAATATAAAAAGCAATAGCATCCATATAAGAAACAAAAATGGAATACCTCTTAAAGCTCGCGAGAGTAGCTTTTCGACTATCTCCTCAGATTCCTTGAAGATAAGATCATTTACCAGAGATTTGCCCATTGCCTCCTCAACTGAGAGGCCTGTCAACTCGGCAATTTTTGCATTCCACCCATTTATACATCCATCAGTATCTACTGCAAATATGGGTACTGTTGCTGTCTCTATCAACCGAACCATCTCTCTTGCTACGGAGCTAAGCTCATTTATCCCCCGCAATTCTAGCTCCCCAATCTGAACTTGTCCATTGACAATGGCTTTTGAGTTGCTAGTGCCCTCTGCAGCATCTCTGAAGGAGTCACGCAATATGAGCTGCAAGGAATGTATTGCGTCCATTTCTGCATTCTCCCATGGTAGGCTTCTGCTTTTAACCACTTCAAGAAATGCCTTGAATGATGACCGTGGGTGCATCCTCTGACCATCATCCTTATCCTCAGGGTGATGCTTTGCACCACCCCATTTGATCTCTTTAGCTGTGTGTGACCGAAACCAAAACAAGTAATCACTCGGTGTAATATAAGCCACCGCCATTCCACACACAGCATCCCCTAATGCAGCAGCACCAAGGTAGCCTGCATCAGCCAGGCTATCTGTGCTGAGCCCTGTTGAGTCCCCATGACACACCGTCAACCACTCGATGATATCCTTAATCTGAGACTCAGTGGGAGTGACACCCAATGGATAGTACTTCCCATGATAATAGAGTGCAGCCCCATCGCACTTCACAAGGTCCATGATGCTGGGGCTCTGCGTGACAATGCCAGTTGGTGAATCTCGCAGTAGCATGTCACACAATAGCGTCTGAGTTCGCAAAATGTGCTTCTCTGACAGCTGGTGCGCAAGCTGCAATTCCATGTTGAGCTGCAGCCCAAATGCCTGCATGAGAAACTCGCAAGCATACCTCAATGGAAAAGGGATACACCGTGGTGATGTATGGTGGCACACCACTAACCCCCACAACTTCATTGCCGAGGAGATGCCACCCCGACCTGTTTGCTCGTCGTCACCACCACTGCTAATGATGACTGCCATAACAAGCGACGCAATTGACCCCATGTTCGCCATGTACTGCGCATGGCACCCGTGCGGAGCACGTAGCGTGGAGCCTACCAAACACAGCGGCTGCGACAGCCCAGGATCTTGTATGACTCTCACCGGGGTGGCATGGCAATCGGCAATCATTCGCACGCGGTTCTGCCGGAACAGGAAGCGCGACGCCTGGGGGATATCTGTGGCGGGATAATGCAATCCGAGGTAAGGCTCAAGGTTATCGCGCCGGCTCTCGGCGACAACTTCCCCGTGCTCGTCTTCATGGAACCTGTACACCATGACACGGTCGTAACCCGTGAGCTCGCGAACATGCTCCACGACTGTGTCGCAGAGGAGCTTGACGTCCCCGCCGGGTAGCGCCTGGAGGCGGGAGATGGCGCGGACAGCAAGTTTCTGGGACTGGACTGCGCCGGCGATGGAGAGAGCGGGGTCCTCGGTGTGGGCGGGCTCGAGGTCGATGACGACGCCGACGTCGATGCGGTGGAGGATGGCGTAGAACGGCTTGGAGGAGACCCTGGAGTGGATCCATAGCGGGTTGAGCAGCGAGATCTCGCGCGCGGCGAAGGCGCACTCCAGGTGGACCGCGGACGAAGGGGAGAAGAGGAGGCGCGCGTCGGCACCCAGGGAAACGGGGGGCGGCGCCGCGGAGTCGAGCGAGGGAACGGAGTGGTGCGGCGACAGGTTGAGCAGGTCGGCGACGTTCTCGGAGAAGGCAAGGAGGCGGAAGGAGGAGTCGTCGGCGACGGCGAGCGTGCAGCCGAAGGGCTGGATGTGGCCGCCGCGCTGGATGCGGGAGAGGTAGGCGGCGATCTGCTGCTCGGAGGACGGCGTGGGCGGCGCGCGCAGCGACTGGGAGTAGTCGAAGCTGCGGCCCGACGCGCCCGATTGCTCGAACACCGCGTGGAGCCGCGCGTCTAGGGTGTACTGCGCCACGGCCTTGGAGACCGACTCCGTGGCCGTGGCCGTGGCCGTGGCCGCGGCCGTGGCCGCGGCGCCCCCGCCACCTCCTCCTCCCCCTCCCCCGCCCGCGCGGGACGTGCTCCCGCCCGACGACTGCGAGTGGTGGTGGTGGTGGTGGTGGGCGTGACGCGGCGCCTCGGGTCGCGCGGAGGAGGGGGAGCGCGTGGGCGTGGCGCGGCTGCCCGACGCCATGGCGGCGGAAAAAAGGCCTGGGGCTCTCGCTGGATTAGGCGGCCCCGTCGTCCGGTCTTGCGCTCGGCAGTCGTCTCGTCGGCTCGCTCGCCCCCTCGACTGGGGTTCGTCCGGTAGCTTCGCTTTGCTTCACCCAAAATACTGAGACTCGTTTCTCCTTTAAATAGCGCTACATACAGAAGGTACCATATTTATTCGGTATCTTTTTCAGTCGTGCCTTTCACACGAGGCCTCCTATATATGTACTATATTAGAAGCTAATTTTAAATCTCTTACTACTTATTTTAGGTTTAGATGTCTTTTTGTTGGAGACAGTCTTACTGCGCTTATTGACTTATTACGAGGATAAAATAAGAGCGAATTCTTCGTGAGTCATTATAAAAGATTATAATATTTTGGGAGCCGCTGAAAAAGTTCAGCAGACTTTAGCGTCACTACTCTAATTTTTTTTTCCTTCCATGTCACTGCCGTTAGATTGAGCTCTAACGGCGTCAAATGTAGTTGTGAAAAGTCAAAAATACCCTTACATCTAAATATATCATTAATTTTTTTGAGCATCTTAACGACTTCAAATGAGAAAACTCAAAACTAGAAAGTTGTAGATCTCGTCGAGATCTATAATTTTCATATAAAATTATCTTCATTTAATTCCGCAAAGAAAAGATATGATTTGATATGATTAATATATCTTAGAAAAATTATATCTTTTTACGGTATTAAATGAAGATAATTTTTATATGAAAATTATAGATCTCGACGAGATCTACAACTTTCTAGTTTTGAGTTTTTCCATTTGAAGTCGTTAAGATACTAAAAAAATTAATGTCATATTTAGATCTAAGGGTATTTTCGATTTTTCATACCTACAGTTTGACACCGTTAGAGCATAATCTGACGGCAATGATATGAAGGGCAAAAAGAAAAATTAGAGTAATAACGCTGAAATCCGCTATACTTTTTTACTGGCTCACATAAAATTATAATCTTTTTAATGGCTCACCGGATATTCACTCGTAAAATAAGAAGTGGGGGCAGGGGCGTGGAGCCTAGCGCGCAAGGCGATGCGCCGATGACGATGGCATATTGGCATGGCTAGGGTCATTGAAAAAAATTTCAAAATGATGAATAGTAGCATTTTCGTCTTATTTGATAAATATTGTCCAATCATGGACCAACTAAGCTCAAAAGATTTATCTTGTGATTTCCAACTAAACTGTGTAATTAGTTATTTTTTTTATCTATATTTAATGCTCCATACAAATGGCTAAAAATTGATGTGATGAAAAAAGAATAAAAAAACTTAGAATTTTGAGGGTATCTAAACAAGGCATAGGATAGGGATGGCACTGACTGGGGGAGGATCGAGGCTGGGCCGCAAGGGGTTCAGGTTTGGAATGGATTGCGCTCGCGCTGGGGACGACGACGAACTCCCAGCTGAAAGCTGATGTGGATGCGGATTCTTTCACCTTTGCAGCTTTTAGTTATGTTTTTTTTTATTGAATTCATTACAAATTTTTAAGTTTATAGATATGTTATTATAATTTGTCTATTTTAATAACTGCTATTATAATTCTTCCTCCCTCGTCCATATCATTTTATACATCTCCCACGTACGTGGCCCACTCTCAGGCACGTATACCTATGGGAGCACGGACGGACGCTGCCTCCTCCCTTAGAATGAGCCCGCCAGCGGCGGCCAGCGCGCGAGGCGGAGCGGCGGCGCTCGCTCGCGGCGGCCTGCACGTGAGCGGAGCAGCGTAGAGCGCCACGAGCGCCCCAGGCGGCCTGCGCGCGAGCGGAGCAGCGGTGAGAACGACGAGCGCCCGCGCGCGTCCGTACTGTGAAGAGCGCCTGCGCGATGCCCAGCGCGGCGCGGCTGAGCGCGTCCCTGGCGGCGTGCGTGCTGGCCCTGGGCGGCGCGCGGAGGAGCGCCACCAGCGCTGCCAGGAGTGGCTGCCAGTCTCCCACGGCCGTGCGGTGCGCCTCCTCCCCGCAGAGGAGGCTGTGGACCACGGGCATCGCGTGCTGCACGGCGTCGCCGGACCGCAGCGCGGACGTCAGCACGTCCAGTACGCCCGGCGCCGACGCCACTTGGTCCCGCACCGAGACGGAGATGTTGAGGTCGTGCGGGGCGCCGTGGGCAGTGGCGGCGTGCGGGAGCGCGGTGTGCAGGCAGGACGCTCGAACGGTGCCGCACTCGCCGGCCGCGTGTTGCCCCCGCACTTGTGCTCAGCGGCGGTGGCCGTCCCTGTGCTAGCCGACCGCGGGCACCGCGTGCCACTTCCACCCTACCTCCCCCCACACATGTGTGTTCGTCGGCCGCTTGCTGCTCCGGCACAGGTAACCGTGGTCAGTTTCTCCTTGCCCCCAACGCGTTCCGCGGTCCGAGCGCGATGCCGCGCAGAGCCAGTCGCTCGCAGGGGACGCCTTCGAGGCCGTCACGCACGCCAAGACGGCGCTGGAGCTTGAGTGCCCCATCGTCATGTCCTGCGCCAATGTGGTGGCCCTCGTGCGCTCGCGCGCAGGCTGAGCGCCGCCGCGGGAGGGCTCAATCTAACAGAGGAGACGACGTCCGTATATATTCGTGTACATGTACGTGTCTGACAGTGGGCCATGTAGGTGGCAGATGTAGAAAAATGACATGGACGAGTGGGAGATAGAATTACAATGGCAGTTCTCCAAATAGACGAATTATAATAGTGTATTTCTAAACTTGAAAAAAAATATAATGATATAGATCTAAAATTCCCTTTTAGTTAAGCACGCTGAAAACCATCCTTCTTTATTCTTCTTTTTTTTCTTTTTTTTACATGATCAAATGACTCTTGTGGGTAATCCTCCATCGTAGGCTCCGTTCGTTTGAATTTTTTCAGCCATGGTATAATGAACAGTATTTTTCAGCCTAACTTTCCAGCGATATCTAAAACTATCTAATTTTGACAAGCGATATCTGAAGGACTGGCTTAGTCTTCTATCCTTAATTTTGCCCATCTCATTAAATGAAAATAAGGATGAATTGTATATGGCTGTTAAGAAAGAATGGTGTCTATTCAACTCAGCCTTTGTATAGAGATACCATGGAGAGAGAGAAAATCTGGGATGTTCTGGAAGGCTAAGTTGCCTTTAAAGATACAGATTTTTTTTGTATTTAAAGCGAGGTGTAGTTCTCGAAAAAAGGGGCCCAAAAGGGATACTAGGCATAATTTTATGTGGACTAGAGAAAACAGTGCACATCTCTTTTTTAACGGTCATATAGCAAGATTCTTGTGGAATGCATTGTTCATCATTTTCAATTTTCAACCACCAAATGGTACTGTCCACTTGTTTGGTTCTTGGTTAACGAGTTTTGCTCCAAAATTTAGAAACCAAGTAATACTGGGAGTGGCAACGATGTGCTGGGCATTATAACGGTGTATTTTGTTTCTGATTATAACGGTGTTTGGTCTAAGTAACTTTGAGTTGTATCGAACGGTTACTTCATTCACGTGTGGACGTGGGAGGTCAGAATATTTTTATTTCGTAATATAAAAAAGTTGTTATATAGTTTGGCATTGCCAATTTTATTATGAAAACTGCTTTTATAATGTAGAACACTTTTTATTTATATATCTCTATACATATTGCTCATCTAAGATTTTTGTAAAAAAAACTTATCCAGAACAAAATGACTTAGGATTAGAGGAAGTAGTTGGAAAGTAAATTGCCCCCTTAAAACATATGCCATCATATGATTAAAGGGTAGTTTTCTAGTACATTCTAACATTGGCTAAATAAGCATGAGGGTGTGGAAACTTTTGTGGTCTTGTTGGGTTGATTGTTGTAAACTAAGATCAGTTTGGATACAAAGGTTAATTGGTAACTAGCTAAAAAATAGTTAAAATTAGCTTTAGTACATTCAAACAAAAGGGATAATAGGTGGGCTAATTTTTTAGCCAAGTGGGTTGTTAGTCAGCTAGCTAGCCAATCATAGTTAATTTGGACTATTTTTTTAGCCACAACTAATAACTAGCCATGTGTATCAAACATGCTTTATAGCAGGTCACTATGCCACACTTTATTAGCATTGGTCTAAGCGTCATACACTCGGTTTTTACTATATTTGCTACTCATGTGCTAACCATTGTTCACCACATTTACCAGCTCGTCTTAGTTGTGGCAAAGTCAGTGGCCATCCAGTCATGTCCGGAGAAAAAAGGGTCTTGTGCCTATAGCATCTAACCAGTCAAGAAAAGTCAAAATATGTCACACGTAGTAGGTATATTGCTAGATTGATAACTCTTCAAGTGTGTACGTTCTACCATGGTTAAATTTATAGAAGATACAATGTGTCAAAACATAGAACTAATTTTATCATTACTGTAGCATGAAAAGAAAGAGAATAATATTACATTCGAGCCCGTCTCTCCTCTCTAACTAGAAATCATGTAAACTCCTAAGATTCATACATGTAAATGAGGCGGTGATGAACAAGGGCGCAAGAGTATAGCTTTTTTTGCCTCTTTTTTTAAGGGGTCGTAGAACTCTCTTCTATATCAATAAAACAGGCACCATCTCGTGCCTGTTCATTCAAAAAAGAGTTAAAAAATTCAAGTTTAGAAATTGAGTCCATGAGCTATGGAATTGACATAAATAAAATGAAGAAAAAGACAAAGAACACTGCAGTCAATAGTTAGGTTCTCTATATCTCACTTATTATCTCCTTCATGTAGCAAAAAAATGATTAACAAGTGGCACTATAGCTGATATGAATTACGGAGTATTAAAGACACTTGATATGATCGTTCAATGGTTATATATACAAACAATGGATAAAGGCAAAATAAAGAAGTTTCATTTCCGTATTAGGCTCAAGCGGAAGCGGAGTAGTACAGACTACAAAGTAGCCCGGAGTTTTCACTCATTAGCCAAAAAAAATCTACATCATGGCCACACTGCATGCACCCTTGACCCTTGGACCATTTTTTAGGAACCACGTGACATTTGGATTCTTATCCTTTGCT